TGTTTTCATACTTTTCACATGTTTTCTTCAAGTATTTGGAGGCGCTAACAATAGAGATCTTCTTACTTTGTCAATATCCACATAAATAGCTTTCCAACATGAACAACGTGTTAGCACGCTCCATATCTAATGTCCGTCTGTCCTTTAATCAGAAAATCCTTTTATTTTCTAGAGTATTTTTTTTAGCTCTCAAAGTTTTGTCGTCAAGAGACTCACACTCAAGAAAATCATCCCTTTTATCTATATTATATATATTAGTGTTTTTGTAGCTAACAAAATTAAATTTAATTTATGATCTCATAAATTAAATCTATAATATCATATCTAATTTAAATTTATCTCATAATTTTAAATTATAGAACTGATATGATATCTTTTTATATCACGTTAGTTATTAAATTTAATTTATCATATAAAACTAAATTTAGAACTAACACAGTAATATAATACAACATAATAATATAATATAACATATATATCAAATATATATTATATTATATATATACACGAATATATATATTTTGAAAATATATATATTATACTATATTTTGAATTTTATATATCATATACATATAAATACACAAATATTTATAAGATAAATATTCAAATGCACACACACACATACACACACATAACCGTATACTCCCTAAGGATTGATAATCAGTTACAAGTGACCTCTAATAAAATATCACGACTACCCAATTCATATAAGGGTCGATAATCCAATATAACCTATCATATAATCGAATCATGTCCCTTTTGTCACACGATATTTTAGTCAAGTGTGAGATATGAAATTATCATTCTCCTTTATCTGACCATTACCTTCTCAATCTTTGAGTTAAGTGACTATAGCAAAGAAAAAGATCTTTCTATTATAGTATGGCCATATATTTTTTCAATCTTACTCATTGAGGGGCCCAGTAATATCTCTCAATTAATGTGAGAGACAAATTATATCTTAACTACTCATATTTCTCTTTATAAATATCACTAAACTTAATCACAGGCTTTATGACGACATGATTAAAGGTAACTTTTGACTAGATCAAAATTCAGTAGTCATCATACAGGAATCCATGATGATCTTAGGCTAAAAGGCTTAGTGACATGGTTACATATGAGATAAGCTTATAACTTGTACCATACAACTTTCTCATAACAGATCGATCCAGTACCTTGTGCCCTTTCAAGTGCCTATGACTTTAATTCATATATCTATAATTAATTAAAGTTATATTAGTCTTATATCATCTATGATCCCTCATGGATGACCAACTAAAGACATTTAGGACAATCATTATAACTTGTCCAATGATACAGTTATCATAGTAAACATGCAATTAATATGATAACAAAAGAGAAGTTCATTAAATAACAATGCTCATAATACAATGATTAGCCCTAGTTTCAATACATGTTAATGTCTCAAATTTACATGTAAACTACCATTGATTACATATAAATCAATATGAGAAAAAAATTGTGACATGCCCGAAAAATAATTTACATGTAATTTTTAGTGGGTTACATGTAAATCAAACACACAGAGAGCATGCCTTGTGAGTGGCCTAAAATTATATAAAAACAGCCACTATTTACATGTATATCTATAGGTCAAGAAACTTGCAAGCATGACTAAAGAATAATTTACATGTAATTTTAGCGAATTACATGTAAATTAATCACACAAAGAGAATTATATAAAAATGACTACAGATTATATGTAAATCTAGTTGCTATAACACAAGCTATAACTCTTGCGCCCTAAGCCATAATACATTCATCCTAAGCATCTCTCTTGCATCGAAGCCAAAACCCTTGTACCTCAAACTAGAAGCATTGTACCCAAGCCATAACCCTTGCACCTTAAGCCAAAAGTATTGTACCCAAGCCAAATCCCTTGCATCTAAGTCATACTCTTTGCATATTAAGCCATAACCCTTGTACCTCAAGCCAAAAGCCTTACACCCAAGCTAAAAGCTTTGTACCCAAGTCATAACCCTTGCATTTCAAGCAAGAAGCCTTATACCCATGTCAACCCCTTACACCCAAGTCATACCATTTGCACCCTAAACCATAGTCCTTGCATCTAAAGTTAGAAGTCTTACACCCAAATCATACCCCTTACACTTTAAGCTTTTGCCTTACATATAAGCCAAAACCCTTTCACCCTCTAGTTATTGAGTTTACATGTAATCCTTGGTGATTACATGTAATCATTGATGATGACATGTAATCAAAGGGTGTTGATTTTTTCCAACGACACTTCACCTATCGACTGGAGCTCTGGCAGGCATATCATCACATTTCAAAAGAAGGGTCGGAGCTTTAATGACTAGATTTTGTGCCTATTTGAAAAAAAATAATTAACACAAAGGGGCATTTTGGTTATTTGTTCAAATTATTTAATGAATAAAATATTAACCTTCATCCTTCAAGTACATTTGATCCTTGGGACCAATTTTCCTTTTAACTAAGTCCTTTTGACCAATTTTCCCTTTTTTATTTATTACTAACATATATAAGAGACAATCATATTCGAGACACTGTCTGGCACTGAACGTGTATACCTTTCTTGATGAGTATTTGAATATTAATTTATAATGTTATGAAAACATAACCCCCTTCATTAGACCTAACCCTAGTATTAAGGAAAATCGAACCATGGTGAGAGATGATCCACTAGTGTCACACTTGTGATCACGGACTGGCTTAGAATAAGTAAGCAGATCGTCCAAAAAGAAGCTATTGGGCCTGGTTTTATTACCTTCAAATGATTTAGCACTAACTAATTTATTGTGGGCGAGACAAGATTGGCCCATTTAATATTTCAGATCTTGTTCTTAACGAGGTGAATTGCATTTTAGTTTTACAACTTGTAACCAAAAATGCATTTCACAACAAATAAATGTTAATTCAATTAATAAGAATTTGGCTTATAATCATAAACTCCTAAACCTAAATCACCTAGATTTTTTATTATTAAAAAAAAAAAATGCATTTTACAACCTCAGCATTCAGCAATAGCAATATAGCATAGCGCACTGTTATCTTTCTCTAGAAGTACTCAAGCACAAAGCGATGAAATATGATCGTTGACTATTGTGAAACTTAATGAAGCATCACCTTTTTGTATGGTGAACCACAAATCGTGTTTACGAGGTCGTTAATCTATGGGTTCTTACTTGGAATTGTTGGCCAACAATTGAAAAGTTGAAACAGGATTCCTCGTATTCCCCAAGCCAGGACGGTGCGTTGTACCACTTAGGATCTAAAATCCTGCGCACGTACTATGCTGTTTTTGTTTGTACACTTGTGATTTTCATGAAACCGTGGTTTTGAATTGAATTATACAACCCCGCTACAGCTGTCAATTCTCTTGCCCGTGGTCCTCCTTTATCCAAAATTCTATGCTTTCATTATAGCTTCTCATCAAAGTGTGTAGCACAAAATGTAGTTTAATAATAGCCCAATCTTTCAATTTTTGTAAAAAGGATCTTCATGTATTATTATAAAAAATAATTAAAAACGAACCACATTATTTATGGCTTAGCTACCCATGCTACTTGTTATAAATTTCAACAAACTACATAACTAATATGATACAGTGATATACGAGTTCCTTGTCACCTTTGTATATTTTTCAAAGTCGGATGGATTTTCTCCTGCCTGATAAACACAGACAAGTTAAATTTAATAGTTTCAATTGCTGTTGAATTTACCTTTAAACCTAATAAAGTGTTTTATTTTTTGAAACAAAGCATTGAATGGCTAATTATATGTAGGATTTTATTACTGTCTTTAAAGAATTCGAGGCAACGAACTATCCATAATAACTTGATGAATTTGAAGTGAAGATATTTTATAGTATTTTCGATGATCAAGAGTAATGTTTTATTAGGATTTTATTCAAAAAGCGGGATTGAGATGAAATTCCAAGGACATAAAAATATCTAGAGTCTTTGCTATGAGTTAATTGATAGTAAATATAAAGGGTTTAGGGCGTGTTTGGTTTTCGACATAGAAGGGGAGGAGAGCCAATAATAAATTATTTGGTTTGATTGGACAGGAGAGGAGGAGGTGAATTTCAATGACCTCCTGTTTGATTCAAGCAGGGAGAAGAAAAGTCAATATTAAGTTAATAATTATACTCTTATTAAAATTATTTTTTATTTTTGGTTTTGATTGATTATTTAAAAAATATTATAATTTATTAACTTCTAATTATTTTGGGAATACCAGTACTTTGATCACGTTCCAATATTTTCTCCAGCACGTTCTTCCCCTCCATACGAGAGTGCAACACTGCGGGGAAGCTGGGGAAGGCGTCCTTGGGGAGGTCAAGGTATAAAATGTGAGTCATAAATGCAAACCAGAAAAAAGGAAAAAAGAAAGCAAGAAAGAAAAATTTGAGCGGGCCGACTGATGGAGCATGGACCTGAAGAGAGAGAGAGAGAGAGAGAGAGAGAGAGAGAGAGAAGAAAGAAAGAAGAGATTAGCGAAGGCCATGGGTTGGCTTATATTAATGTTAATAATAACATAACATAGCTTGCAAAATAAACATCCGATTAAAATAGGCACAAGAAATGGGACGGATCCTGCGGTGAAAGCATAAGATCCATTTGGTTCAGATCCATATCGTCTGACACCGAAACTGAGTACAGTTTAGAGAGAGAGAAGCAGCAGAAAAGGGCAAGGTGTAAATAGGTCAGTGAATGCAATGCCAGGGAATCGATGTTCGCTAATCATTAATAAAATCTATACAATCTATTCACACATAGATGATTCACTGGCCTTTTGCTGACCCCTATCATAATTGGTGTCTTTCTCCGGACGGATGCGTGATGGCAGTGTCGCCACTTATTACTACACAACACTCTCTTTATTCATTGTGACGTGAATGGTCTCTTTCTCTCTTATTTATTAGTCTAAAAGCGACACCTAGCAGCTCATCCCGTAAAGTTGGCCTCCTTCATCATCTCCTCCATCCTCCTCCTTTCACGTTTAAGCCACGTGACACATGATCCCTTGAGATCCAGTACACTCTCTCCCATCATGTTTACACACTTTCCAAAATTCATATTTGTAAACTCCCCTGCGTTTTCAAGTTTACATACAAGTTCTTTGTGCTATCATTACAAATCAATTAGGATGCGGCGGAACCGAAGCGTGCGGATGACGCGCCACCAAGGAGCGTTTGCAAATGGTTTTTTCTCTATGGAATCCTTGATTATTGCTTTAACCCATTATAAATGGCAGCCCATGTATCCCATCGCAAAGTTTTGTTCTCAACACAACAGCACACTCTCTGCAACATGCAGCGCACCAAAAAAACAGGGATGGGTAGGAGAACAGGGAAAGACTCCAAATCTTACACGCTTCCTTCCTCGCCTTCCCATTCATTCTCTTCTTCTTCTTCTTCCGACTTCGAGTTCAGCATCTCCATTTCCCCTCGAAAATCCTCTGCTGCCCTCTGTCCCGCCGATGAGCTCTTCTACAAGGGCCAGCTCCTGCCTCTCCACCTCTCCCCCCGCATCTCCATGGTCCGTACCCTTCTCCTCTCCTCCTCCAGCACCTCTTCCTCCTCCACCGACACCACCGCTACCAATGGCGGCGCCCGTGACTCCACCGGCAGCTCCGCTGACTCGCAGTCTTCCTTCATCTCCGACCTGGCTATTTTCCCCGACTGCGACTCTTCCCGCCCCAGTTCAGTAACAGAGGATGACGAGTTCAAGCGTCTTCATAACCCCTCCTCTTCCGTTAATCAACAGAGCCATGTCAAGAGGTCCAAGTACTTCTCTTTATCAAGATTCTCCTCTGTTTTCCGCAAAGACTCCGGTAAGAGCCGTGACCCGGATTCCGTGTCCGGCTCGTCGGTGAAGCGGATGAGCGCGACGGCGAGAGAGGTCATAAGGAAGTATTTGAAAAAGGTGAAACCACTGTACGAGAAGTTGTCCCAGAAGCAGCAGCAGCAGCAGCAGAGGACGGCGCTGTCGTCAGTGTTGGCCAAAACAGAGAGATCGGAGAAGGAAACAGAGGTCGGAGGGAAAACAGGGGGTGTTGGCGTCCTTGCTCATTCTTTCTCAGGGAATCTGAGATACCCCCGAAGGAAACGCTGCGTTTCTAGCTGTCCTTCGTCGATGAGGTCGTCGCCGAGCCACTCCGGTGTGCTGTCTCGAAGTGGGTGGCCGGGCAGTGGGGCAGGCAGGGCTGCTGGGGGAGGCGGAGCAATGTATTGTGGAGACGCGTCTTCCATGGAAGAGTTGCAGAACGCGATCCAAGGTGCAATCGCGCATTGCAAGAACTCTTTGATTGATCAGAACAAGGCAATGGTCAGCAACGAGATCTAATCCAATAAGCCAAAATGGTTTTCGTGATCTCTTTCTCTGTTGTCAGTCTTTCACGATCTCATTAACATTAACAGATTAAAAAAAAAATTGGCCTTTTTTTTTTTACTTGTCCTTTTTTCCTCTCTGTTTTCTCTGTGAGAAACTTGACATAAAAGCGAGGCTAAAAGCTGCATGTGACTGTACTATCAGTAAATTTTCCGATCTGTAACGATAAGTTGGCAGCATCCTGTCAAAACAAATTATAGGGGGAAATGATTCGCAAGCGTTTAGAACAAATAAGATGAGATAGTTAGCAGTTGATTGGTTCTGGATTGCAGCTGATTGGGTTATAATCCAATAGAATGGGATGTGTAAAATTGTATATAGAATGCATGTGCGTGAGATGGGAGGGAATTACATGGGACGTGTTCGGCAATGGGATAAGGCGGTGTTGTATTTAAATGTGCATTTATTGCGTTGGAGCAGCAGATGGGAAGGTTCCATTGAGGATTTAGATTCAATGACTACAAATTTAACTCAATAATTCAGATTAATTAAATTATTTATTAATTTTAAGTATAGCATAAATTTTAAATTATTAATTTAAATTTTAATAATTTAAATAGTATAGATATTAAGTGTCTATATTAAGTATAATCACCGAACCGAATCTAAATGTACTTTCATTAAAATGCAAATGCTAGCTCAGCTTTGATTTGAGTTTGAATTCTGCCCATATTGTTCTCCTTGCGTTAAATCCCAGTGGAACTAATCGAACTAATGATTTAATAAGAGGTTTTGAGTACTTTTTTTTTTTTGGGCCACAACGGTCTTTGCAGTGTGCCTTTAAATTTACATGCATTGCACCCGTGCATGGCCAGATAGCTAGTTATGGCTATGCTTAGATTCTGTTCAGTACTGAAAAAATAAAACCTTATGTTACAGGGTGGGGGACAAAAAAACCTTCGCGCATTGCAATTTGCAATCCAAACACAACTTATTGCAGTAATTTGTAGCGTTAATCTACGAAAATAGTTATCTGGAAATTGATACAAGACATGGAATTGAACGAGGTGTCAAGAGATTAGCAGGGAGTAAGCCAGGCAGTTACAATGAATTTGGGATTTTAGAAAAATGGGTTTGGGCCACCGAACATCGAAAGATATCTTGTGGTTTCAATCTAAGTAATTCTTCTTCAGCCAAATTATGTACTTGTATTAAAAAAATTAATTAAAGTATGCATAAGCTAACTTAAATGCCTAAAATACCATACTCGACATTGTTTCATACTTTCATCCGTCACGCTAACATTTCTTTTATTCCTTTAGTATGCACCTTTACATTTGGCATGGCATGGAGTGAGGTGTTTTAGGATATGCTTATGCCTAACCAAGTGAAGTGAATTTAAATAAAACAAAGCGTCTCAACTCCATCTGGCTTTATTGAATTTTCTACAACAGTTCAGCATGAAAGAATTGAATTTCCTCCTCTTCGTTTAAACTATTCAAATCTCTCATCTTCGAGAAAAGCTTTTGGTTTAGGCACTTTTCCTATAATATGTGTGAATTGCTGATCAATAAATCAGATAGATGTCGATGTTTTGTGGTCAAAGTTTCCTTTTGGATAAATAGTTATAGAGAAGGCATTAATCAAGGGAGCGTAGCAGGAGAGCTAACTGCTTATTACAAAATCATGAGCTGGGAAAGCCCAAATTGCAGATGCTTCTCTTACAACCTTGTATTATTCATGTTGTACTCCCATGAGCTTCATTCAATTCACAAGCTAATTAATTAATAAGCATAAGAAATTGCTAACCTATTATCATAATTGAAATTGATAATTCAGGCTAGTTTAAATAAGCAATTTATTTTGGGGCTTATTTTGGATGCCAGAATAAATTCGGACTAAGCTCTAATTCTATTTTTTTTATTGATAAAATAAATTTAAAATAAGATAAAAATTAAAAATTTAATTTTCTTAAGATAAAAATTAAAATTGGCTAATAAAATAAAATAAAATAATATTAATAATTTGGACATTAAAGTGAGCCCAAAAACCCAAAATGCTAGGGCCAGGGTATGAATTTTTTTTATAAATGATCTGAATTGAATCATGTCTATCCAAATTACCAATATAGTTGTGATTAATTTGGCATTAATAACTAGTCTCCATTTACAGTTTGCTGGTAAAAAAGGAATCATTCATGAACTCCCTTCGTTACAAAATGTAAGGCATTTTTAATCGAATTTTTAAAAAAAGTGATTACCTCCTTTCAAACTAACATTGTCTTCTTATATTTACTCCTATTAAATACTCTATAATAATATAAAGTCACTATCAATAGGGACACTTTTAAAAAAAAATAATAATTACACCTCAAAAGACTAAAAGTGCCTTACAATTTTTTAATATCTAATTTTTCAAAAAATATTTTACATTTTTTAATGGAAGGAGTATAGTTTATGACTCATCAATCATTAACAATGAGACTTCCTGTAGTTTTATACTTAATATTAAGAAATTGAATTTTCCAATAAGCTGTGAGCAAATTATTATTATTTTAAATCTGAGTTTACATGGTTTTTTATTCATGTTCAGAATATATTTTTATTTTTAAAATAATTGTATAATCAAAAGTATATTATAAGAATAAGAAAATTAAAACATAGCTGAGTAAAAATAAGACGAGGTACATAAAGTATTATAAACTTTAGAAAACACACACAATCAGTATTTTTAATTTTTAAATCATCAGGACATACACCAGACTATATATATATATATATATGAGTTATATATATCATAATGACCGTATAATTTTGAAATATTTGTATGAGTATCTAATTATTTTGAAAAAAAATTAAAATGAAACGCAATCAACACAACCACATTCATTGTCGTGCAGGAGTAACACCAAGTAATGATGCCACGTGACGGGATGATATGACCAGATTATTGACTAATGAGGCATGTTGTCGATGCTTGCTTGTTCTATTTAAAAATATAAAATATTTTTTAAAAATTAAATATTTAAAAATATAAAATATTTTTAATTTTTTAAAATATAATTATTATTTTTTAAAAAAATATTTCTATTAATAATAATTTTATATTTATTATAAGGTATTTAATAGGATAAATATAAAAAAATAAAATTAGTTAAAAAATAATTAATTATTTTATTAAAAGGTGAGATTTAATTAAAAATATTTTATATTTTTTGAATGGAGGGAGTATGACACACCAAATTCAAAATTGTATTATAGTGGCGAGAAACTGTTGCCATGCCGAGATGTGAATAATAATAATAATAATAATAATAATAATAATAATAATAATTAATATTATTATAACTCATGCACCATGAGATTATTCGACAATGGTTATACTCAACAAACAGTAAGGATTAAAGCATACGAGAGAGGCCACGTGGGTGTAGCGCAGAAAATAGTGGTTAGGTCACTTAAGTATTATTTTAGAGTTCAATTTTTAAATCAAAAAACATTTTTTAAAAGATGACAATCCGTTAAATAATATTTAGATTTTTAAAAAAATTAGTTCCATTACTATCAATTGTGAGGATATCTTAAATAATTGAAAAAAGCATCAGAGCGAGCATGTTAAAATTATATTTATATTTTTAGGAGTTGATATGCATGAATTTCAATAAAGTTTTCCTTTTATAATATTTTTTATTATTTTATAATTTTTTAAAACATTTGAAATATTTTTTCCTTTCTTTTAAAGGCAATTTTCACTGAAATTCACATATCTCAACTTTAAAGGATTCAAATTCAATTTTTTTCCCATGTAAACAGAATTAAGAATTCATCAAGCAGTGGATAAAGATTGATATTTCAGCAATAGAAATAAATCCAAGCTCAAGCTATATGATTTCAAAAATAAATTAACGATGAGTGGATGAAGAGTGAGGAGCAGTCAGTTGAAAAGTTGAGAGCCAAAGACGATTAAGAAATGTTTGGAATTATGTCGTTGACAAGACAATAATTAGAAAAAGGATGAGAGTAAATCTGGTATAGTTTGGTTGGAGAGTGTACAACTTCTTTGACTGGTCCGTAGAACGTGACAAAGACAGAACAAAGAAGAGATTCAAATAATGTGAAGCTGTCAAAGTTGAGAGCATTCATTTTTGCGTGGTGTTGCCCTCTGAACACAAAATGAGGAAGGATCGTGATTCGTGGATGGTGAATAATCACGAGCACGCACTTATACTTGCGAAATAAAACACGCAACTAATAGCACGCCTTATCTATCATCATCATCAGCCCCCATCAAATCCAATCACATCTCCCTCTCTTGCCTATAAACCCTGGCCAATCAACGCTCCACCTCGCCACTGTTTCTTTTCTTTCTTTCCTTTTTCGCCCCCATATATATATATATATATATAGCGATTTTGACGTATCCTGTGCCCAATAATGTACTGACATGTATCTTTTTTAAGGAAAAAATTCGAGGTATCGGTATCGAATATGTGACATGTGATATAATATGAATACGGTATATATATGATCATAGATATGCACCCATTTACACCACCTCAATTATATATAATCTACCTCACCAACAGGCAACAGCTGGAGGACGTCTTGCATGATAAATGTATGCACCAGTCAATGTAGTATTTTGCTACTTGATAATATATTTTACCCAAAAAAAAACAAAGACTTGATACTATAGGGATTAATGTTAAAAACATATAGGTGAGTGTAAGGAATGATCTAAAAAAACATATAAAATCATATATGATGATGTGCGGTGATTGGTCTCCATTCTCACTTTTGGTTACTTGAAAGATTATTGTAAAAAATATATTTTCTACAAACGATTATTTAATCAATATAAAAAATTAATTTTTTACATCTTTTTTTTACTACCTTTGATAACGAATATAAAAATTTTAAAATAATCATTGTTAAAAATTTTTCTTGTGATAATGACACCCAAAATAAGTGTATTGTAAAAAATCAAATAATTACAAAATGGCCACAAATTAAAATTAAAAAAAAAAAGAATTGGCTGGTGGCATGTGAGAGGTTTTTTATCATATTTTATCATGTTCCATTTATATGTCATTTTAATGAAATAAAAAAAAAGTTAAAACTCAAAACTTTGTTAATAAGAACCAGCTTGGTTTCTATTTTTACAATTTATTTTTCTATAATATAAGTGTTTTGGATTCAATTGTTTTTAAATCTGTAAAAGCAAAAAATGGAGAAAAAACGCAAACAAGCCTTAAATTTTTAACTTTATTCTTATTAAATATATATATTTTAATAATATGTATTCCTTTCTTCATCTTTAAGTATAAGTAAATTTTAACCAACCATGTAGTTTAAGAGAGAGTTAGTTAGCTGATAAAAAAATGAATGTTATTTAGTCTTAATAATTATGTTTAAAATTGAAATTTTGGTGCTAAAATACCCTCATAATTAATCCTT